TTCCTTTGATGGGTTTCTAAATGTTAATTCCTGAGCTTGCTTTCTAACTGCAGGAGATCTCATCAGGGTACTAAGGTCAGCCTTCCCTTCTGATTATGATGAGAATGCACGGGCACAAGGGTATCTTATCAACAAGGCCTGGGGTTCACTTAAGCTCTATGGAAATGATAACCCTACACCACCTACAATTCAGTGCTATTTTCAAAGGAGCTCTGACTTGACAGTTTATGCTACTGTTTTTTTTTGCCTCTCTAACCTGCTACTTGGAGAGAAGAAGGTTGTTGACCTGATACTTACTGCGTCAGATAAAGAGCACTTTAAGCACAAATACTATCTGGTCTGATTTCTTGTTATCTGAGTGATTGAATTAAGTGCTTGGGATATATGATGGTGTCTGTAATCCATCTGGCTAAAAGCCCTTCTTTTTCCTATACTGTGTAAGATGCTAGAACTAGTGTTTACAGGATACATTTGAGTGTGTGAAATGTTCCTAAAGTTGATTAATTACTTTCTCTGCTCTTTTTTTTTTAATTACATAAAAAGCAATTTTGGTGTGAGACTCAATGCACAAAGAATACAGGGCTAGGTTTCTTCTTTACTGCAGAAATAATATCACAAAACAGTTCATCTTACAAATAGTTGAATACAAACATGCTACAGTTCAATCAAAAAATCCGAACAAAAGCACAAACAAAATGCAAAGACCTGCAGCAAAACTTACAAAGTGCATCTGTCTCCCTCCTTCTTAAAACTGCTTGGTTTTGCATATAATGGGAGAAGGCATTTTGTATGTGTTTAAAAACAGCAAAAATACCCCTTTTCCCAGTTTGCTAAGCTATCTGCTACTGTAAAACAGGGTGCCCTTTCCAGCTGCAGTGAAGACCCAGGTTGCAGTAGGAGACCCAAAGTGACAACTCACATGGCTCCTATGTGATCTCATTACTGCAGTATCAAATGATATATCTTTCAGGCAAATAACACATCTCAGCATGTATTATCAGTGCCATTAATGCATTCCTATTTTAATTAAGGAAGCAGCTAATGGGACCATAGCCAAAGCATCCTCCTAGATCATTCAGTGAACGTACACAGTTACTGAGCCTGGAACTTCATCTGGCCTAGATAAAAGAAAATAGCAGTAATTAGTTATAGGGGGATCTTTACTAAAGAATATATGTTTGCTTAATGCATTTTTCAGATTTTTTTAGGATAGTTTTCAGTATCTCTGCAAAGCTGAATAGTGCTGATAATTCTCTGACACCTGCCATTTTGCTGGTATTTTCCAGTTTCATGCTATAGGATTGAGACAAAGGAAATTAAGAGTGGCTTTTCTTATCTTTCACTATCAAAGCAGCAGCTTCCAGTTAATTTTTATTACCTGTGTGATTTTTAGGTCAAATTTTCAGTGGCACACCTGGTTAAAAAAACCTGATGCTACTGAAGACAACTGGAGCTTTGCCATTTATTTTATCCCATTTTGCTGGCACAGATGGCCCCTGCATTCTTTTTGCTCCTGAAGTTAATTGCTGGTGCAAATCTGCATTTGGAGGCTGAACTCATGACTAAGGATGCATTAGCAGAATGTAAGGACATGAAAGTAAGCTGCTCTTAATATTTATAGTTTACTTGTAGTGGGGAGAATAACTCATTCCATTGTAGTTTTCTTATAAACAGAAATAGATGTATGTTTAGGTGTCATAGCTAATAAATGATGATTGAGATTCCATAGGTTATAAACTGAAAAAAGGGAATTCAGGCTCCATTAGTGGTGTGCCATTATGAGCACTTTAGAAATGTAGCCATAATACTGCAAGCAACCTCGTTAGTTTAATGTATTATTTGTTTTAAAATTTTTCTCTTCTCTTCACGTCTTCACTAACTATCTCTTAAAAAGCTGCTACCCGGAAAAGAGATTAGTATGTATGTTACACTGATAACACACAACTGGGGAGAGTTCCTGGCTTTATAGTGCTGGAGCCTGAAGTGTATTTTTTTTCCTACAGGGTTTTCCATGTTGCCTCCATCTACCAGTGTGCCCAATCCAATCCTACTCTGAAATGACTACCTGTAGGACAGAGGTTACATGCCCATCTCTAATCTGTGTATTTTGTGTCTGGCTGGTAGACTGCCACCCAGGTTTCCAGTTGTCCTGGTGGTGGTGATGTGTATGCTTGTTCATGAAGAAGATAATTGAAATGGCCTGTTTATAAGAAGAAGATCGTCATTGCCATTGCTCATGGCTCTCTTGTGCTGGATTTATAACAGTGTGACCTGGAGGCACAAGAATCTAATTTTTTTCCTGAGCCTTCCAATTCCAGAGAACTGTTTTTTACATTTTTACAACTTAACATGAACATATAAGAAGACTACAGACTTGCCTTGGAAGACTGAGTATATAATTATGTACAATGGAAAGGAACAGCTCAAGGCTGGCTTTGTGATGGCCGCTTATTCTGCCAGTCTTCAAGTTCTAAAAGAGACCAGTAGTGCTGCCATTTTTCATGCAATTCTCCAAAAGTAAAACTACAAGAATGCAAAGATTGGGAGTCTCCTATCTTTTACTTACAGCAATCTCCTGGATGCAGTATCTCTAGGGCTGCTGCTGACGGGCACTCAGAGTGGAATGGCCTAATCATGTCTTTCCTTTTTTCAAATTTAAAAATTTGCTTGGAATGCAAAGCGTGACAATATCCAAATGGAGTGAGCAGGACACAGCAGGCTAAATGGAAAAGAGCAGTGGTTCCCAGGACAGGCTTACAGTTCTCTAATCCCTGGCTGTTACACAGGAGTTTTAATTGCATTGGAATGTAAACCATATTAATTATCATTCAGGTCAACCTTTTAGGTTAAGAAACTGTCTGGTTACCAACATTTCTGTGGCACAAGAATATATTCACTCCTTTTATCTGTAGGCAAGCTGCATGAAAACAGAATTGCTGTGTGTTTGTAATTCATCTTTTCTTGTAGGCTCTGTTAGTCCCTCTTTGCCCAAAAACTTCCATGTGTATCACTCATCTTCAGACTCTGAAGCAAGCTACCTGCTTTCTTCTATGTTGTTATAAAATAATCTAGTAGCAAACACTGGTCCATGGACAGCATATTGTTATCTCCTGATAACCTGTCTGATTTGTTACTTCCACAGCACCTAAATCTTGTCCTGAATACAGCATTATTGGCTTTGATTGAAGAATGAGTAGGAAACTGCAGTAGCTTTGTTGAGATTATGGTGGTCGACCAAGCGGAAGGTTTAAAGGAATATATAAGATAAAATACATTCTGATCTTACTTTAATTTACTTCCTATTAGTTGCTTTTTCTGCTACACTACTCTCTTCCAGTCTATTTGCATGTAAGTTACTCACATTAAATCCCATTCTTGTGTGACTTTGAACAAGTTGCTTAATTGCGCTGTGCCTCAGTTCCCCAATTCTCAGTTGCTGATAATACTCCCCTGCTCCCACCATCTTGGTCTCTTGTCTTTTTAGACCAGGGTTTCTCAAACTGGGGGATAGGATCCCTCAGAGGCTTGCGGGGTTGTACGTGTGGGGGGGGGGGGGGGGGGGTCATCAGCTGTGAACCTCCTCTCCAAACCCTGCTTCACCTCCAGCAATTATAATGGTGTTAAATTAAAAACACCTTTTTATATACTTTATAAGCACAGCGGCCTCAGAGGCTTGCTATTTGAGGACAAAAGTTTGAGAGCCACTGATTAAGAAATCAGGTCTTTGTGATGAGGACTCTTGCCATTGATCAGAGACTTTGGATAGCACTTCAGATTTAGGAGCACATTTGGCATTGACTTCCAATGGAATTTGCAGGTTTAAAAGCAATAGGTGCTTTTGCAAATCTCAAGTGTGGGCCTGATGGTGGGTTGGAGCTCCAATGTGCAACTGGACTATTAATAATAAACAACTTAGACCATAACCGTCATACCTCTAACCTGTGAACTTGGCTGCCTGCAACTTACAGCACTTCTGACTTGTCAAACCTCTTGTATGGCATGGAATGGGAATTGTCGTCCGGGAGCTAGAGCACTGACTGAATATGAATTACCAAGTAACATTGATTGTGGCTGTTGAGTCATGGTGCAGCCCTTATTTTTTGTGAAAGGGAGCTAAGAGTTCCAGTTTGTTTGCAGCTTGTAAGATGACATTTGGGACTATAAATCCAAATGCTTCAATGAGCAGGTCTATCTCATCTTTTACTGCCAATAGCTTTGTTACCTCACATTGTTCCTGGCAGTTCTACATGCATAACAGTTCCCATAATCTAGTTGCAGTCTGTTATACAGCATATGCCAGTAACATTGACAACTTTGGTATTACAGCAGCACCATCTGAGCAGGTCAGGCTAAGATGTACATTTTTAATTTTATCCTTCTGTGTTTAAAATCAAAACAGCCATCTTCTTGTAGTGACATAATGGCATTGCTGTAACCACCCTTCTGTACCCCTGCTCTGGTCAGAATCCATATGCTAAGTAGGGTTTTAAAAACCTACTTTGCTAAAAAGACTGATTTGCAAGAAAAGAATTGGACAGTTGAAGCTCACACCTACACTATGCTTAGACCTTGTCTACTGCTTTCAGCAGCATTAGCAAAAATGCTCCAGTTGGTGGTACAGTGACCACTTTTAGCTGATGTTAACTGCAGTGCAAGACTAGTCTCCTAGTTATTTCAGTTTTGCATAGACAGTGCTGGAAAAATTAAGTGAAATAAGTTATTTGCTTTATAAGTGGGGGTGGAACAACTGAGACTTCTGGCAGTAAGTCTTTGTTCTTTGATGTGCCCTGGAACCATTTACCCCCCTCCCCTGGGAAAGAAACTGCCTAAGAAGAATTGCTGGGGGGATGGAAGGGGATGGATGTAAAGAAGGAGAACATACCCCTACTTTCCCACAGTTGTGCTACCTCCTCTCCACAAAATGGAGCTTGTTAAATCAGCTATTGTTTTTATCAGTGGTACTTTGTGTGTCCATGGCACCCCTTTATTGCACCAAATCAGCTATTGTTTTTATCAGTGGTACTTTGTGCGTCCATGGCACCCCTTTATTGCACTTGGAGCCTGCCAAGCAGCAGGCTCCATTTTTTCATGCCTGCACAGGAGCGGTAATAGTGCTACATGTTTCACCATTTAGCAGACTCAGAAGGAAGATCGAGAAACACAGAAGGGAAATGATCAAGAGGTTATTTTCCTTCAGTATTCACTGACAGACATTTGTTGGTACAACTGGCACACTAAAGAGTCATCCCACTGAAGAAAAATGGCATGCCTGAAAGCACACAGCTCCAAAGACATTTAATCTACAAGGATCCTGGAAGCTGGTTGCCTTGGGTCCATGTGACTGTATTGTGGTGATTAGTTGTTACTAGAATGAATTTTCTCTCTGGCTTTATTCCCATGTAGGTGCAAAATTCAAGATGGCCATGCTGTTGTTTCGCTTGCTATTTTGGATTTCTGTTCCCATTTCAGTTAATGGCAAAGGACTAAACCACAGGCTAAGCTGCACACTGAAATGTTTGATAATGTCCTCTCCCATCCAAACAGGAACTTTCTGGTGTACTGCAAAGGGGGCATGCTCTCCAGGATCCAATCCTAAAGTTACATGTGAGGATTGGTACATTACTGCATAAACTCAGAAGGAAAGTCTAGCAGAGACATCTTCTGTGTCATCTGTCACTTTACTGAGGTTCACAGGGCCTTGCTTCCTATGCATAAGATTGGTGAGCTAGAAATACCACCCCAGCATCAGATGTGTTATAAATTGAACTGCCCTTGATCCAGGGAGCAGTGCATCAACTGGCGTAAATGGTCCTACCTCCATTAATGTCCAGCTATTCATGACTCATTTTTGTCGTGGCTAAGTCCTAAGCTGTTTACACAGCCTCCCTCATTTAGACTGTCACATGCCATGAGGGAAAGCAGATCAGGCAATGGTTCATCTCTGAAGTTATTGGTTTCTTCTTCCAGTCTTCTGAGTGCTCCAGAAAAATAATCCTTTGGTTAACTTACCCCCAATGGAATTTCCTTGGGATAGTCATTTTTTAAAAAGAGTATGGCTCCAGCTGTAAATTTGTTTTGCATATATTATTTTTCGGGGGGGGGGGGAGGGTAGCACCAAACTCTTCTGGTGGTTCTTCCTCCAAAGTGATAGTTCTCTAGGAAGAAGCCATCCAGTCACAGGTCTCTCATCTTGCATTGACACCATGGGTGAAATCCTGGCCCCAATTCAGTCAAAGGGAGTTTTTCATGCACTTCAGCAGGGCCAGGATTTCACTTTATGGCTCTCTCCATTCCGAAGCATGGAACACTCATAACAGGGTACGAACAATTCACAAATTCCGATACTAATTAATCTTGCCCACAGGGTTCATTTAAGACCGATGCAACCAAGTCAGATTACAGATGTAGCTGTGTGGATAGATTTTATGGAGTTTGTGAGAGCTATATTTGAACATAAATTAGCCATTTTTTTTCAAGATGTACAGCAGTTCTGTTTTCTGATTTATTTCTGAACTATGGCTGGAAGTGTAGATCATGACACTTTTCTTCCAGAAATCAAGAAACACATACAAGAAACAGTCTCAAGTAATGAAACAGACATTTAAATGGCTACTGGTAAGATGGCCCAGAGCAGAAATCCAACAATGATCCAATGACCTCTACTGACTCCTGATGCTGAGTTTTACTTGAAATGTGGTTCTATTCAGAAAAGTGACTCTGTAAAACTAACATTATGAGGTTCCAAATTCATTGTGCCGACATAATTTCTAGATCAAAATGCTCACTTTACAAGTAAACAGATATGTAGTATAACTTCTAGCTCTACACATTTGCCTCAGAATCAAGCTGTGTTTCTTCTAGCTCAGCGTCACCAAAAAATAAATATTCTGTAAGGGGAGCATAGTTATTCATTCTATTAATAATGGGCAAGCTGAAATAGATTCTAATTTGCTTTCCAATCTATGTTGGCTCCAGAAAGGTTAATAGAATTAAAAAATACTTGAAATTATTTCAGAAATGCAAGTAAGCAGATCTGATTGACTATGCCCACAAAGCAGATCTACCAAGTAAGGAAGTGCCATTTTTACACAGTCACTTTTCTAGCCAGTGGTAGACTGACCCTTAAAATATCTAGGGCTAACTAATTTCTGGGTAAAACCCATTTAGAAAAAATAGCTTGGAGGATTACAGTCCCAGATTTTGTATGAACCATTAGGTATCAGTGAGTAAAGGCCATGATGACATCAGGTAGGTTGATATGAAGAGCTGGGGGTTAACAGAAGCATCAATCTGACTCCAGTGATGTTAATCAGAAAACAGGCTTGCAAAAGACTTCCGCAGGTTGCGGATGGTTTCAGCTTTTGCTTCATCTTCATTGGTGTTTCCCCGTTGCGCTGATTCGGATATGCTAAAGGTGTTCGTCAGAGACTGGGATTTGCTGAAACAGAAAGGGACATTTAGGCTCAGGCTTGTGTTGGTTTCATTTGGGCAGGGGAAGTTGGCAGTTCAACGCTGGTCACTGATGCTCTGCTGTGATAGCAGCAGACAAGTTCAAGGGCAGATGTGGGGAGTCTCCATAGGTTGAGAAGGCACCCAAAACTTGTTTAGAGAATGACGGCTCTGCTATTCACAGGTCAGGCTATCTTTGGGGTGTGGGCAGGGTTTTCAATGCCATCATTTTTCAAAATACCCCTTTGGATATCTGCTATTGCAGTGGACTAGAGGCCAAATCCAATTCTCAGAGGCTGCATCTAGACTGGCAAATTTTTCCGCAAAAGCTGCTGCATTTGCGGAAAAACTTGCCAACTGTCTACACTGGCCGCTTGAATTTCCGCAAGAAAACTGACTTCCTACTGTCTGAAATCAGTGCTTCTTGCGGAAATACTATGCTGCTCCTGTTCGGGCAAAAGTCCTTTTGCGCAATGCTTTTGTGCAAAAGGGCCAGTGTAGACAGCTCAGATTTGTTTTGCGCAAAAAAGCCGTTGCGAAAATGGCGATCGGGGCTTTTTTGTGCAAAAGCGCGTCTAGATTGGCACGGACGCTTTTCTGCAAAAAGTGCTTTTGTGGAAAAGCGTCTGTGCCAAACTAGGCGCTCTTTTCCGCAAATGCTTTTAACGGAAAACTTTTCTGTTAAAAGCATTTGCGGAAAATCATGCCAGTCTAGACGTAGCCAGAGTGAATAGAAAGACTTCCACTGAATCCATTTAGAGCTGGACTGAGCACCAAAACATCTCCAGTAATGTCTATAGTACCATGCACTTAGGGTCCTGGCCTGTGTGTTCTGTGACGTCCTCACCAGAAGTACTTACTACATTCGGTACAGCTAAGGCCCAAGCAAAGGAATATCTGTTATTTACAAACCGCAACAAATAGGCAAATCCAGTATGTGAAGAAAAGGAAAGGTCGCAGCTGTACCCATGGCAGGAGAAGTGATTATGGCTGCCAGCCTAATGCTTTCCATGGCTGATTCAAGAGCCCTATCTTCATGTCCAAGGTCTCAGTTTTCACTGCCAGAGGCCATGAGTGCTCTTGAAACCCAATCATTCATTATGCAGAGAACCCAAGCATGTCTCCTGATCTGCAGTTAGCAGTTCACCCAGCCCTTCAAGACTTGTCTCCACTATGCATTTCTTGCATGATGAGTGTGTCCCATCATTGCTACTGCCAGGTCAGTTCCACTAGTGGTCCCTACACAGGGAGCACAAGTGGCTATTTGGGTTTTGAGCACCACATTCTCTGCTCTGACATGGTGCCTAGTTCAGTAGTGGCCATCTGGATCCCCCTTTATAGCAGTGCTCCCAGCCTTGCAGCAAATGGTGGGAAATTTGGGACAACACAGTTTTGTGTGGTCCCTAAACCCAGGGAAGGGTGAAGGTGGGATTCACATCAAGGACTCTCGCGCATGATGTGGCAGTCATGATGTTTCCTTGGCTCTGAGGATGGCAGCAGTGGTGCCTTGCAGGAGGGGGCAAGGAGAGTGTGTGAGAGAGATGAAGAATGTGAAATCTCAGAGATGCACGGAACTTCTTTCTCTCCCTGAAAAACATTCACATGTGTCCCAAGGATCTGCCAAGGCCAGTTCCACAAAGAGCATCAGCACAGGGCCTCTTGTGTCATTTAAGTCACTGTTGCCCAGCCCTGAGACTAGAGAATGCTGTTGCCTGGCAACAAGGGACCAGACAGGCATTGGCCTGTCTATTAAGCCAGGATGCTTTTAAAGGCAAGATCTTTCTCAGATCTACAAATCTCTTCACTTAAAGGGCACTTACTTCAGGTGTGGATGCGGGGAGGCCTGTTGCTTGGGTGTTTCACCAAGGCTTTGCTGAGCAGGTGCCCGTCCTTGGGCAGGGGGCCTAGGCTGCTGTGGTGGGAAGATGCCCGGCTTGGAGGCCTGGACTGGGGAGGTTCCAGAGGCGGATCGTATTTGTTGGGGGGATCCCGGTGACCTCTGCTGCTGAGGTGAGCTAGCCTGGGGAATCTGGGGCTGCTGGCCCTGAGGAGAGAGCCGTTGTTGCAGAGGCGCGCCTGACCGTGGAGGCTGAGAGACCTGAGGCTGGCGTGGTCCCCCTGCAGGGAACACGAAGACAAAGGTGCACAAGACATATGTTAAGCAAGGAGCAGCTGTGTGGGGGAACAGGCTCTAACAAAAGGAGAAACATTTAATCGGTGCAGGAAGTAGAGGTATGTGGGGGGTGCTGCAGCACCTTCAGGTTTTGCATCTGGCTTCCCAACTTTGCCCCCCCCCCCCCAGTACTCCATATAGGGATGTGAATGGTTAACTGGTTACTGTTAACTAGTGGGTTGGGCAGCTCTCCACCTACCGCAGGCAGGGGGCCCTCCAGCGCAGTCAGAGCAGCCCCCGCCTTTGGCAATATCGCCCACATAGCATTTTTAATTGGTTAACTAATTAAACAGGATTTTACATCCCTAGTGTCGCTGCCTGCTAGCCCTGAGGGCTCTGCAGCCACTGGCCCTGGATGCTCCGCTGATGCTTGGCAGTCCTGCCACCAGCCTGGGGCTCTGCTCCTGCCCTTGGCCAGGGGCTCCACAGCTGCCTCCAGCAGTGATTAGGTTGCCATCTCTCCCGGACTGGATGCACCAGATGGTCATTTGCGGCAATGGCATCTGGTCTGAGAGAGTTGACAACCTTAGGTGTGACCCCAGACTGGGGCAGTGAGGGACACAAACAGGTGTATGTGTGTGGGGGAGCATCCTAAAAATAGTTCCAATGCCACTGAAACATTCCAGATGTGCTTCATACAGAGAGCTAAGGAAAAATATTTGTTATGGACATTGGACGCTGTTAACTAGGTGACTAGCGGCAGCATGGCCACAGTTAAAGTTGCTGGTGTTCTTTGCCTTCTTAACACCAAGAAAAACTGGCCTTTCTTCTCACAAGTAGAGCTGTCTCAGCATGTCTTAGTTGTCCAGTGATTGCCATCATTTCTTGTCCTCGGTGAGTCTTGTGTATGAGCCTGAATTGTTGGGGTGGAAGGTTGGTATCAATGGGAGGACTAGCTCCCTTCACAGAAATTGGAAGTTGTTTGCTGGTTTGGGTCAACAGCACCTTCCCTGGGTTGTTACGAAGAAGGGCTTACATGTCTCATCATCACTCATGCCTTTATAAAAATATGATCAGTGAGTAGATGCGTCTGCCTTTTTAGGTGAGAGACCATCAAAGCAAAGTCTGACTTTTCTGCCTTCCTAAAGACACATAAAATAATGCTCTTAACAAATGAAAATAGACAGGTGTCCCTTAATATTTTATACAGGGCGTCCCTGCTAGAAGTTGCCCTGGTACGCATCCATTCCACACTAAAGTTGTTGATGCTTGTAAGAACTGATACATTATAAGTCCTCCCATTCCTTGCTCTTAAGTCATGCCAAAAAAACCAGACAAACCCCAAAACAAAAAATAAATCCCACCCCAATTTGTGCAAATGAAAGTCAGCCATGGGAAAAAAGGAATCCACCTTAAGCTTCTTTGTTTTAAGTCCAATTTTTTTGGAACATATCTTGGATTTATAGTGAGGATGGCCTGTACACCATTTCAAAGAGAAAACCTAATGGTCTTTAAAGTTCTCCTGTACCTTTGTGCCTGAGTAAAGGTGTTACCCCAATGTCTTTGGCCAAATTCCAACTTGGGCAATGACATTCTGCTGAGCTCGATTCTATCTGGATTTTCCACTGATGTTGCTATTCCTCATCACTGCCTTTGCTGAGCTGTTGTGTAATGTTACTGTGCACTGTTGAACAGTTGCTGTGTTTCACTGCTTTGTTGGCTGCCATTTCAGTGACAGGTGATGAGATTCCTCTGTACAGTGTGAATCAGATCCCAGAATGAACCATCTAGGTTTCCTTTGCCAGAGGCTCTAGAGTACAGTACCTTGAGGAGGTGGCCGTGGTTGGGAGGGTTGGCCTAGCTGAGGTCCTGGTTGAGGCTGCATCTGTGATTTCATTGACTGAGGCTGGACTTGTTGAGGCTGGAAAAAAATTAGTACAGTCATCAGAATATGTTCAAAAGGTGATGCCGAGGGATGAGAAAAAGAACTGTGATTGTTGTGATGTTTTCAACACACAATGCCACTGGGGCACAAAGCCTGTGTTTCCATGGTACTGTGATGGAGAACTGATTAGGAAAGAGCATGGAAACAGTTAGCTAGAAGAGAATGACCATGGAATTACATTTTTCAAAAGTGGATTTACAAACAGAGGAATTACCAGACTGGCTGAAATCTGAGACTCATCTAATTCAGTGGCCAGCACCATATGCATAAGGTATAGATGTAAGAAACCCACCCGTAGCAGATGTGGAGTTATCAGGTCTCACCCTCATCTCTTATAGTTAGAAATTGGCAGAAGCCATGAGATCTAATATCCTTTCCCCATGTATTATCATTAAATATAGCAGCTCCAGATATTCCTGACATTCATATAATGTCCAATCTGTTTTTCAATCTTGTTAAAGTCTCAAATACTTCCTGTGGCAGCGAATACCACAATCTAGTTACACATTGTATTAAAAAATATTTCCTTGTCTTGGTTCCCCACCTTTTAATTTCACTGAATGCCCCTTAGTCTCCTGCTAAGAGATGAGATTAGACACTCCTAATCTACCTTCTCTAGACTGTTTTATATGTTGTATTACATTACCATTTATTTGTCAAGCTCATCATTTCAGTCTCTTTTCCCAGGAGAGTGTTTCTAGCCCTTGTATGTCTCTCACTCCCCTTTTCTGAGGCCTCTTTAGTTGTGCACTATCCCCTTTCAGATGGGGTGACTAATACTGCAGATAGTATCTACATAATATGATCTATGTCATTAAGTGCCAGCGATGCCCCTCTGCTGTGTATATTGGCCAAACTGGACAGTCTCTACGACAAGGATAAATGAACACAAATCAGACATCAGAAATGGTAACACACATAAACCTGTAGGGGAACATTTAACCTGCCTGAGTACTCAGTCCTAGGCAGAAATGGTAACACACATAAACCTGTAGGGGTACATTTAACCTGCCTGAGCACTCAGTCCTAGGTTTACAAGCAGCCATTCTTCTACAAAGGAATTTCACAAACCAATTCCAGAAAGAGAGTTTGGAATTGACCTTCATATGCAAATTTGATATTATTTCCCTGGGCTTGAACAAAGACCTTAACTGGATATACCATTATAAAACCAGGCTTCCATACATTTAACACCTCATTCACATCAAAAGCTAAGTATGGGATACTTTCAACCCACTCAATTAGCCTCATTAGGACCAGCACCACAGTTGACAGGTATTTTTTCCTCTCCCTTCTTTTTCAGTTATAAGTTCTGGGCTCCCCTTTTTTTCCATCTGAAGAAGTGGGTTGTGTCCACAGAAGCTCATGATACTATATATATTTTTGTTAGTCTGTAAGGTGTTAGAGGATTACTTCTTGTTTTTAAAGTTACAAACTAACATGGCTACCCCTCTGAGTATCCATGTAAGTCTGTACCACTGATTTGTATAAATTCATTAAAATAGTTTCCAATCTTGTTTTCCATCCATTTCTTATGCATCCTAATGTCGTGGGTTTTTTTTTTTTTTGCCTACAGCTGTGCATTGAGCAGAGGTTTTCAATGAGCTGGCTACGTGAGGCTATTTGAGTTAATACAAGTTAATTTAAAACAAGTAGTTTAAATTTTCCCCTCCAATATATATTAATTTGAATTTATCAACATTGAATTTCGTTTGCCATTTACCTAGCTTAGTTAGGTCTCACTGAAATTCCTCCCAGTCCTCTAACTTCTCTCTCTCTCTCTCTCTGCTCCCTCTTCTTTTCTGATCATTAATAAAAGTTTAAACAATACAGAACTGTTGTGGAGATGCTTGTACTCTAAGTCTGTGGTAATGAGTCTAACTCAGCCTGTTACATAAAATTGTTTATGAAAGTCAGCAAAGTTGGAGACAAATAGACTGGTCCAAACGGAATTGTTTAGGTCAAAAGTACTTTTATTTATTAAGGGACTTTTGAGACTCCTGGGAAAGTCATGGGTTTGCATGAACAAGGAGCTAAATGAGTCTAGAAATGGGAAGAAATGTTTAGTTGAATTCACTGATGTGTGATTTAATTGGTTAATGTTATTGGGATGTTGTTGCCAACCCATCTTGGACATTGCACACCTGGGAGTTGCTAAATGGATGAGGGCTGTATGCATCAGCTGGAAGGAGTGAGTTTTATCACTGGAGTTTCCACTCCCATAGTCTCCTGGAATCCAGCATGATACCAGTGGGCCTGGTGGTCCTGTTCCTGAAAAGCCGCCTGACCATACCAGGCCAAGGAGAGGGAACAAGGCGACATTGTCAGCAAGGTGACATCTGGAATATGAGACGTGGGTTCCTACTGTCACCCCTCCCTTGTGTTTCATCCTCTCCCCCCAACCTCATTTCTTCTTCTTCCTTTCTCTCTCTACTTTCTATTGAATAAGCATCTGGCTTAACCAGCTAAGTCCTCCTGTCACAACACTGTTATGAGCCTGTGACTAGTGAGGTAACCACAAGCAACACTTTAAAGAGCCCCAGACTGGAATAGTTTGCCAAAGCTCAGCATGGCTGATCAGACTGTGTGCTGTGCCTATACTTCTCCAGCAGCTAGGGTGCAAGGGAAAGGCAGCATCAGACACAGAAGCTGCATTTTCTAACTTTACAGTTCTTTTTGTGTGATTGTCTTGTTTTGTTTTAAACAAAACAGGACTGAACTTTAGCAGCAAAAACTCCAGACTGTCTTAACTTTTTCTCTTTCCCCAAATAGATAATTAATAAAATGTCTTTCAAGTCCATCTAACAGACTATCCAACAGGGCTTTTTCCCTATATGAGAACTAACCGGCAGCTTCAGGGGAAAAGAGGAAAGGGTATTATGAAAATAAAAGTCTTACTTAACACTTCACTAGTTTGATTATTCCCTGTGTTTCTGTGATAGACTTAAAAAATGGTACTCACATTCACAGATGTTTGAATTTAAACTATGCTGGCACATCAAGCCCTGGGGTGGTTTAATCATTCAAAACTGCCACTGGCAAATGTTGTTCAAGTCTAAAATAAGATAGGTTCAATACTCAGCCTGAGGTGAGTGTGCAGGGAGGTGGATGCACTAAACATGAGGCCTACTGGTCTATTTAAAAGCAGAAATGATAAATTCTGATGAACAGTAACATCAGACAGGCCTTCAGTTCTGGAACTGAGACCTCTCTGAGGAGAAGACACAGGGATGGCAGTAGAGAAGGACCTAACAGTGGCAGGCAGCCTTACTGGCTCATTCTGGAATGCAGCAGAATTCACCAGAGAGGCAAAAGCTGGAATAAAATTGATCATAGGGATTGCTAATCTGTAAAGATTGGATGGAAAGTTCCAACCAAACTATAGAGTTCTATCTAGAGTCTCCTCATTGTGCACAGAGAATTCATGTTAACTCATCGGAACAAAGACCCTAAGACTATCAGAGGCTACGTCTACACTGGCAGCTTCTTGCGCAAGAACTGTTTTGCAGAAGGGTTCTTGCGCAAAAAGTCTTCTACAAGAGAGTCTACACTGCCATGTGCTTTTGTGCAAGAGCATCCATGGCAGTGTGGAAACTCTCTTGTGCAAGAAAGCTGTGATGGCCATTTTAACCATAGGGGCTTCTTGGGCAAGAAATTCATGTTGCCTATCTACACTGCCCTCTTGTGGAAGAGCTCTTGTGCAAGAGGGCTTATTCCTCATGGGGAGAGGAATAACTCTTCTGGAAGAAGCCCTGTTTTACTTCCACAAGAACGTGTGTGCAGTGTAGACAGAAGGGAAGTTTTTGCGCAAGAACTATTTACTTCCACAAGAACGTGTGTGCAGTGTAGACAGCAGGGAAGTTTTTGCGCAAGAACTACTATTCTTGCGCAAGAAACTGCCAATGTAGACATAGCTTCAGTGAACAAATCACACTGGTTTTATAGGTTACAGAGTCATGTATTGCTAGGGTCCAGCTAAGAGTCTGTCCATTCTTTGTCAGCAGAGGTTTTCATTATGAATTCAGCAGAAACTCTCAGTTTTATTTCTCCCTGGAGGGATAACGTTATGATCCCTCCCAACACTCCCTGGCATAGGTAGGTCTTATTGTTCTTTACTGATGCCAGTCAGTTTTATTTCTCCCTGGAGGGATAAAGTTATGATCCCTCCCGACACTCCCTGGCATAGGTAGGTCTTACTGTTCTTTACTGATGCCATGTCTTTTAAACGATTCTGTCCTCCTTTTCCCCAGTCCATCAGCACACTGGTGCCACCTACAAGAGAGTCTAGTTTGATGTATTATTTGCCATCATGCTGCCCAACCTGAGTCTCCATAGCAACAGCTGCGCCATACTGTTTGGACATTTGTGAACAGGAGTTGCTCCTATGCTTTCCCCTTCTGCTGCCATTCCGTTGACCACTCTTCATTTCTGAGTCCACCTCTCGCCAAGCTATTCTACAGTCCTTGTCTCTGATGAGACTTCTCTTTATAGTTTGTAGTCCTTGTTACAATCTGTACCAAGCCAAAAGGGCCCATGGTCAGTGTTGCCTGTAAGATGAGCGCTTGGGCGACCACCCAGGAGAGATTCAGGTGCCTCCCAGCTGATTAGCAAAGCACCCACAGCTCCCACAGCCAGCAACATGTGTTTCTGCTGGTGGTGCACATCATCACATGTCTCAATGCACATAACAAAATTTATTCTGCACATGGATGGAAAAAATCAGCGAGAACACTGCCCAGAGTATATGTATGTGGCGGATAAACTCAATGAGAGTGCGATGCCAGGGCAATATGAAGAGAGACGTTGCTCAGGGACAGTGTGAAGGGTTTATGGAAGAGGTACCCCTGCAACGGTAACAGCAAAGTGATCCAATACTTAGCATGGGGTGACATCTCTCCCCAACAGCACTGGAATGTTCAATCCAATGAGGTACATGACTGGCTGAACACTCATGGGGGTGTGGGTTGGGTGAAATGGGTTTTTCTGAACGGCTCCATCCACTCTTACCCAGGGTCTCAGAGGTGAGGGGGTAGATCCTGTCATAAGAAGTTGAGTCATTTTGGAGACAACCAGATCAGCAACGAGCTGTGTGTCCTCCTCCACGTGTTCCCCTATCAGGGGCATCGAACTATCCATCACCTACAGGAAAAGAATAAAGGGCAACTGGTGAATCTGATGCCAAGCTCCTTGGTGTTACTACTCCCCTTAAGCAACTAGTCTCATCATTCTCCCACATTCTGAAGTGGCAGGAGCTGCTGATCACAGTGGCTGGAGCATCTCTCAGTTTTTGAGAACTAATGCCTCCTGCCAGTTGGAGCCCAGGCCTAGGCTTGATAAAGGTTTCTGGAGACTTTTTTTTAAACGAGATTCTTTCTATACCCAGAATGTCTTCTAGTGATGGGCATTTCTCTGGAGTTCAGCTGTGGTGAGATTTGTGAATGGTGCTCCCACAGGAAGGATTCCAGGTATACAGTAAAAACAGTTCAGCTGTGGTGAGATTTGTGAATGGTGCTCCAACAGGAAGAATTCCAGGTATACAGGAAAAATGAAGCAAACTGCAAAAAAACCTGTGCCAATTTGTGCAAGGAGGACTACAAGCAACCAGGGAAGAGCAAGTATGAATCAATGCAACGCTCTTTGGAAATAAACAACACAGGCACAAAACAGACAGGATGCCCTACAAACAGCAGCACACATGGCATGAATGTAAACTCCTCTCAGATGGACTGCTTTATGCAGTTTTGACATTACTTTGATGTGTAAACATGCACTGCAATTACAACAGAAAAGGTGAGAGAGAAAAGATTTGAAGGGGTCTACAGTCTTAAAAAGGGTGAGAATCACAGCTATACACCACCCTAGAAACAACATCATACTCAAAGTTGTTTGTCATAGTCTAAGGGCTTTGAAAACATGAACCTAGTCCTGTATGAAACACTTATGGTGAAATTAAGGTTCGGCCATGGTGCTTATTACCCTACCAGAATGTCAGTGTCTTTTAAGAAAATGAAACTTTAAAAAGTCAAGAAAGGCAGTATTAAAGTTTGCACTGGTCAGATCAGGCATTGAAACACTCAGATAACAACTGCAACCTCAATTCTGCCCCTCTAGAGCTCCAAGAGTACGGTCTGGTCTAGGACTTTATTCCCAGTTCTGCCACTGGCAGGATGGGTGATCTTGGGCAAATCACTTCCCTTTCCGTGCCTCAGTTTCCCTGTAAAAGAGGGGTAATGACACTGACCTCATTTGTAAAGTGCTTTGAGAGCTACTGATGAAAAGTGTTGTGTAAGATCTAGGTAGTTATTATTAAGCAGGACATTTCGATAGCTGAGCTTAAAGAAGTTTGTTTGTAAAGCCAATTCGTCATTAAAGGGTCTCCCCTGACACAGTGGTGACTTATTAATAGAGTAACTGTTCATCTCTCCCTACATTGTTAAATTTTGGCTTTGTTACATTTGAGTTTATATGATACAGCGATTCTAGTGGTGGATAGTTTTAATTTTGAAAATCTGAGAAGTGGACCAACACTAAAATCTGTTGCCTTCATCATTTGTGATCTAGGGTATGTGGCGGTTTATATGAAAGAGAGTTAGATGAATATATTAAATGGTGGTCCTTTGCTTCTTTGTAGAACAGGCTTTTTGCTGTCCAGAGACAGCTAGGTTTGGCTGCCACAAACACATGGTGGTAAAGTAGCTGGGAGAGCTATAAAACATTGGAGTTGAAATCTAACCGGATTTCTATTTGGATGTCTCGCTAGCCTGTAGCTCCACAAAGCATTCCCATTTTATTTGGTAATTCTGGCACCAGCTCACAGGTTGGAAAGGACAGAGCCATATCAATTCCAACAAATGGTCTGGTAGCATTTTATAGACTAACAAAACATGTAGATGGTATCATGAGCTTTTGTGGGCACAGCCCACTTCTTCAGATGACCAGAGTTATCAATTCCATTTACTCATTATTTCACTGTGAAAGGGATGGCTAATGACCACTAGATGGTGGTATTGTTCTCTTTAACAAGCTATTGTTCCATGAAGTAATCTGCTTGCTCACGGATAACTGTGTAGTGATACATCTATATTAATAAAACCCAACCCTCTCACATCTTCATCTTGGGAATGATTTCCCATCATTACTGCAGCCTGTGATAAACTGGCTGAAATGAAAGGACGGGGTATCACTTGGGAATGATTTCCCATCATTACTGCAGCAGCATGTGATAAACTGGCTGAAATGAAAGTACGGGGTATCATTTGATGAAGTGGGTTTTACCCACGAAAGCTCATGACCTAAAAAATGTGTTAGTATCTAAGGTGCCACAGGACTGCTCGTTGTATGTAGAAACAGACACATCCAGGGCTAAATTAATTCTGTATTAGGTCCATAGAAACCAATGGAGCAACAGCAGTCACTGGTTATTTCTGTGTCTTAGCTCGTGGTTTCTGATCCAGCTTACTTCTGTGGTATTGACTGAGGGAGGCCAAACACTGGACTATCACTGACTAAGGCAGAGGGATGACATAGCTGTTTAGAAAGGACAGTTTTTTCTTGGCCAAATGACGCTCTGGGTTGTCAGTGCAGCAAAGTTATTTAGGTGCCAGGATCAGACTCTGGCCCCATAATGCTGAGATAAACCACGCAGATGGATAAATGAAATACAAACGATCAGACTCTGGCCCCATAATGCTGAGATAAACCACACAGATGGATAAATAAAATACAAACAGCTCTCTCATCTCTTCCTAAAAAGAGACCAAAGAACACCGGAAGGAGAGGGAAGATGTCAGCACACACAGACCATGCCTTTATAGTTGCCCAAGGTCAGTGGCTGTCTCCTGACACAGCTGCTGTTGCTTGATAAGATAGCTGAGAGGGAATGGAAGGCGGTAAGGCAGAAGTGATCCAGGAAAACCCCTTCTCTGCTTTTTTCTTACGTCAAGAGCTGGAGGCTGGCGTTGTTATTCCATGTTCTCATGTGCAAGAGTCGGGGTATTAGGTGATTGGAGGGAAAGAAGGAAACAGATGATTTGACAGATCAAAGGGACCAATATAGCAGTGGTGAAAGGCGGAAACAGGCCATCACACAGTGCAACAGAGTCCTTGTCATGTGTGTGGCTAGATCTACAGCGGTCTAGTGTAGCAAGAGATGTGGCAGTGCTGGCTACAAGAGCAACAAAAGAAGAATAAAAACATGAAGTCAATCCTATATTGATTACACTTTACTTTCATGGATCATTTTACTTACCTCTGAGCCAGCCATCTGTAAAATCATTCGTCCTTATGGGGCAGTTCTTCTTCGAGTGCTTGCTCATGTCCATAGAACATAGGTGTGTGTGCCTGCCACATGCACCGGTGCTGGATGCTTTTCCCTAAGCATATTCCCTGTGCTTTTTCCATTGTCTGCAATATTGTTACTATTTTATTACTTTTATGTGACCCTAATGCCTCAGGGCTTACCTGCGATGATAATCCCATTGCGGTAGGCAGTGTATGTGCATGTAAATAAATTGCAAGAGAGAGAGTGTCACTCCCCTATGAGGCTACGTACTAAATAAACAGGACACACTTGTTGCAGGAAGAGAAATGAAAGCACAAACAGATTAAGTGACTTGCCCAGAATCATCCAGCAGGACAGTGGCAGAGCTCAGAATAGACTCCAGATCCCTGCTTCCTAATTCAAGGTTTTACTCATCTGATTGATGCTTAGTGGAATTAAGTCATTTATTCTTTAAAATTAAGGTTTCTCCTTTGAGTGTTTGCTCATATCCATTCAACCTAGGGGTGTGGGCCTGCCACATACACAGGTGCCAGCAGTTTTTCCCTAAGCAGCACCCGTAGGGTCAGGGTCTCTAGCACACCCATGGAGTAGTGCACCCACGTCATGCTATATGGGGCACCCCCAGCCCCTCCCTCCTCAGTTCCTTCCTGCTGCCAGTGACAGTGCTTGGAACAGTGTGCTCCAATCTTAGTTGTAGCAAGCACTCCCTTGGCATTGTTCACGTCTCATTATGCCATCACTTAGCAGGCCAGGGAGGATGTTGTGTTTGACAGGGCTGTACTGAAGTCTGCGTTCTCATAACTCCTACCCACCTCCGCAGACTCTGCTTACAGTCACCTATGGTGAATGGACACGAGCAAGCACTCAAAGAAGAAAAGACAGTTGCCTGTTTCTGTAACTGGTGTTCTTCAAGATGTGTTGCTCATGTCTATTCAACCTCCCACCCTCCTCTGGCTGGGGGCACTTGATATAGTATGGCATGCATACACCACTCCAGAGGGTACCGTGGATCCCCGCCCCTAACAGTACTGCTTAGGAGAAAATTACCAGTGCATGTGGTAGGCGCACACACCTATGTTGAATGAACACGAGTAACACATCTTAAAGAAACCAGTTACAGAACAGGTAACTATGTTATTTTTAAGTGCCCAGAACCCAGCATGCACCCAGCATACTGAGCAATGATGAAAATCTGGCCACTCATTCATGTGCCTAAAAAGAAGTGAAACTCTTCTGAAAACTTGGCCTTAGTTAGGGTGCTGAGTGCATCTGAAAATTGCAGATTCAGTGACAAAACCCTTTGGCCCAGAGAAATACCAGTATGCTGAATGAAATTTGACGCTGCTGTAAGTGAAGGGTACTGAAATCAAGGGACTGTACCTCTGAACGTAGCCCTTAAATTGCTTCTAAAATAGCCCAGTGCTATGTGGCCAATGAAGATGGAGTGCTCAGATAATAATAAAGGTATGGAAATCAGTCTGCAGATCAATTTATATTAATTACTTCAAGATTTTTGAATTGTTTAATCTTCTTTCCTACACTCAACTTCTTTTTTCATAATCTGAGCCCCTGTTTGCCACAAGCAGTGGTAGTAAATCTCACAACACAGATCTGTCTGGCTTTCATTTTTTGAATGTTTCTCAGGGAACAGATTTCACATTGGGAAAATTCTTTCCTTGGTTCCATGCCATTGTGCCCATTTTGCCATCTATTTATTCAGTACATTTTGGAGTTTTTTTCTTGCAAAAATTTACAACAAATTTTCTTTCTCACAAAGTAAAACACAGGTGTTTGGCTGTCACCTCCTACCCCAAACAAAACAAAATAAAATAAAACAAAACAAAACATCCAACCTATCAGCTTCTGGTCAAAGAAGCCCACTCAAGGAACTGGACTGGGGGGGAAGTAATTACTTCTTAGCTTCTCTCTCAGAACTGGCATAAAGTAGAAAACATGCCTGCTTTGCTCTACTCCATTCCATTCATGTTCCCATGCAGTGCCCATCAATCTGGTACTTGGACTCCTCCTGAACTCTTGGCAATTCTTACCTGGTGTCATTTGGCTTAGTTCAGTTGAAATCAGTGTGACCCTTCTGATTTGCATCAGTTGAAGAGCTCACTCTGTGTGTTTTGTTCAGTGTAGAATCATGGAGCACCATGTATGCAGATATGCTTTTCTATTTGCACATGCAATGTGGTCAGGGATGCAAGTCTGTGCATGTGCCCTTGACTCAGTGTCACAAACATGGATACCTCCCCATCCCAAAGTCATATCAGAAACAGGTAAGCAGCCCTCCCCCCCACAGAAGCATACATACACACACTAAAGAAGATGGGTCAGACTCCTCACCCACATACAGATCCACACAGGAAGGTGTGTGCAGGTGTAAACAGCTACCTCTACATTCTGAGAGGCAGGTGTGTGTATTTTCTTACCTTCTCCCAGACATAGGCAAATGCGCGCATGTACGCGCACATACACAAAGGCTGAAGCATTTTGAGATAGGATTTGAAGAGAAGCAGTACCGCCAAAAGCTGCTGACAACTTACACAGAGAAGCCAGAATGACTGCCGCACCCCTTTTGCCATTTGGAAGAAGCAGGCTAATGTTTTCATTGCTGGCAGAACACTTGTATTACATGGCCTCTGACAGACCCCTGGTCCCTGGGGAGTAGATGCACAATACTGGAATGTGCAGTGGCTGCAGGGCTCATGTGGTTCTCATCAGCTTCCCAAGCCTCAGTAGGTGGGAGTGCTCTCCCACACATAGCTTTTTAATGTGTCAGCACCTTGGAACAAAGCTGCAGGCCAGCTTTGCTCATCTTCCTCTGCTGGGTCATGCCCGGAATGGTTCCAGTTTAATTTTCCTGCCTGCTTTTCATGCTCCAGCCTGTTACAATGGTCCAGATCATGTTATCTGCCCTAGTCCACTGTTCAGCTCTCTGGCGTGGGAGGTCACTTTGAACACTTGCCCTCTCAACCCCAGCATGTGTCACTAATGCATCTCTGGAACCCACAAACTCTTGTGAGCGTATCTTGCTTATCTGCTAGCTCAGTAAAATCAGTCCTGGGCAAACCATTTTAAGGGGCGCAGCCAGGGTCTGATTAAGACAATGAAGCTCATACATACTAACTTTTAGTCCTCTTCCCTACAGCTCTATGTAGTTCCATCCAGTCCATCCTGGGCTCCTGCTTATGACTGACTCCAGAATCTAACTCCTAAGCTTAACATTGACCCAGGAGCTCATTCACAGGTACCTGGCAATTTGGTTGCAACTCACAATAAGCAGTTGGGCACATTAGATGAAATGATACCAGTCACTGGGAGGTGAAAATGACTGGGTCAGGAGGCAGAGCACGTACTCAGAGTGTGCGTGAGTGAGCCTGTCAGCACGCGTGGGCAGGTATGTGTTTCAGGAGGTACTCGGACAAAGGAGACATGCACTCCAGCTCCACTCAAGTTCTCACCTCAATGATATAGTCCTTCCCATCTTTGCTGTGGACAGCTTTGACGGCACAAATATCGAGGCCTCCAAACATCTCGGCGCAGGAGTCTGCCCAAAGTTTGTACCTGCAGAAACCACATAGACACAGGGCTGGGAATTAGCTGGCTGCTCAAGGATTAAAATAAAGGACTGCATCCTAGTAGAGTGCCATTTTTCTCAGCCTCCCACCAAATATAGACACCACACCTGCTACCTCTGGAAGTGCATGAAACTGTCTTCACAGCAACTAAGAATTATTATGATGAGACACCTCGTTCTACAGCAGATGGAGCAAATAAGAGGTCTTGCACAATGGATGCCTACTTTTTCCTTCATTCCACATCAACTCCCTGCTCCTACTTATAGCCCTTTGAACCACATGCAATCATTTCTATCCCTCACTATTTACACACCTCAGATCTTCCCTACTTAGGTGTCACTTAGCCAAGCTGTAAATATTTAGTTCATTTGATCTTTCCTCAGAAGAAAGTCCCTGAAATTTGTATTGCTCTGCCATGAATTCCTCCCTGTTGACAACGTTTTGATGGTGAGATGCCTGGCTGATCTGGGTTTGGAGGAGAGTTGGAGTGGAGCTCTACATTGAGTGGCCATTATCTCTGTGGTGTGACATGATGCCTCTGAATAGACAGCTCCCACAGATACAGGCTTTTTCATTTGTTCCCTGTACATCACCACCTTACAAGCTGTTCCCCTCCATCCATTTAACATTACTGCTTTCCAAGTATTTCACTCCTACATGCTGCTGTGTCAGCATGAGAGCAGGAGGTGCTCTCCAATGGGAGCCCATGCTTCCAGCTGTCCTAGCATGGGAACATGAGCTGACAGGAACAGGAAGCCATGTATGATGGGGTGCCCCCTCAGCTGTCTCTGCACTGGAAGAGGAGAGGGCATGACAAGAGATGCATTATGAGGGCGACCACGCTTTCTCAGCTGTCCCTATGTTGGCACAGGCGTGGGAATGAGCTTTGCTGGTTTTCTTTCTGCGCAGCTGTGCGATGGTCCTGTGCATTTCAACACAAAACATCTGAAAGCAGAAGATCTGTGAGCGGGACTCTCACTCTGGGCGCAAATTGAAATAGGAGAACAATGAGGACTTCAGAGCTATCTATGCATTCACCTAATGGGGAAAGAGAAAAAGGCCTATGATCTTGAAGGCAGTCAGAGCCCTTTTAGCTTGATCTTCATGATCTAATGATGAACCTGGAAGAACACAAGTCTGTAGATGGAAAGGGGCTCATACAACTAATAAATCCTGCCTTGTCACTCCCTGCCCCAATGAGAAGAGAAAGCACAGCCACACAGACCCTTAGAGAAGGTAACAGGAGGCTATTTCAGCTCCTGTCATCTGTAAAGTTATAAAACTTGTAAAGTAACAAATTCTCTTTCCCACACTGGAGTTGGGTGGAGGAGGAGGGCTGTAGGAATGTGCTGTTTATGCTAGGGATTAACACTGTGAATCAAGCAGATTTGCCCATGTTAATGCACTAAACACAGCAAGGCCCAGTCATGTGCAATGCGACTGCATGCTGATCATGTACCACTGGGCAGCTTCTTGGGAGAGAGATTCAAGGGTATTTGGGTTCAAAATCCAGGCTACGATATAAATGAAATGGGGCTGGTGGGCTCACCAGGCTTCCTAATTGATATTCATCCATATCAACCACTCTTTGCCCCAAATAGCAGAATTCTCATGTTTTGCTCAAAACATGCTCGGAGGTGGAATAGCAGAGGCTGCCCCTGGGGAGCACTGAAATGCACAGGAACAACCGGGATAGGAATAGCAGAAGTGCTGCCCATTAGAATTAAGCACAGTGGCAGATATATCTGTATGTAGGGGAATTAAATCTTCATCTGATATGTCAACATGGTGCCTGTATTTAGCCAGCACAATCAACCCCTCATTTTGCCCTAATTCAGCAAAGTATTAAAGCATGTGCTTAAGTTCATTCCTATTCAGCAAAGCACTTTAGACACTTAACTTTAAGCAGGTGCTTTAGTCCCAACGTGGTTCCAATATCAGCTTTGCTCTTTGTTTTTTGAAAGCCCCTTCTTTTCCTTACCTCTCTGTCATTGCGATCTGCTCCAACATAGCAGAACCTGTGTTTGCCTTCCAATTTCCAGAGATGGACGTCCTCCTGGGAAAACAAACCAATACAGGATGACAAACCAGCCCCTCAAAAGAGGTAGTTTTCACACCTGACTCAGTGTGTGTGGGGAACATGGGTGATTCAGCAGGGTCCAACTTCTACAGTTGACAGTGCTCCCAACAAATTCTGATCATCCAGTAAATGAAAGACTCAAACTAGGAGCAGGTACACCTTGATGTATCTTTAGCCAGTGGCTGGGTAGATGATCTATAATGGTCTTGTGAACTCTTTTCTCCTTTTCCACTTCAGTTCCTGAAAAGCAGAGATGACTGTAAAACACTTTAGGGACAATTAACCTTATGCTCTGCACTGTAGAATCTAAGCCTCAGTAAAGTATCATTCTCCTGGCAAAGATGTGATTGAAAAGCTACATAAAAGTCAGACATGGATCTCTCTGAGGTTGGCTTCTATTGTAGTAGTGGCTTGGAAAGTTTGTCTGTGCCCTCTTTTTTCACCTCAATGGCTTGTTTGCTTTGAGACCCACCCATCAATTTTTCCCAAAGGTTTCTTAGGGTTGTAAAATGGTCCAAATCTCCTTTGTAACTGGCTGTTCATTTCAACAGAAGATGCTGCTGCTGGCAAATTCTGAGCTCTGAATTTGTCAAGCGCTGGGCTAGTTCATGTCTTGGTGCGTCAGTCTTTACACAGCCAGCCACAATAACACCTTATGCTGTAATTCTGCCAGATCTCCCAAGCTAGACTGGGTCCATACATTGATTGGATACACTCAGCACTCCTAAGTGGCAGAAAGCATGCATGCCGATTCGGTCGGTGGCACTCTTCTCCCTGTACCAGGGCTGCTCCACTGTAGCAGCATGGTGTTGGAAGATGCTGACAGCAGCAGACACAATCTTTTCAGGGAAAGGCAGAAGAGAAGTCCTGATTATTTTTGGTCATGAAAGGAGACAAGGATGTTAACAATCTTTTCAGGGAAAGGCAGAAGAGAAGTCCTGATTATTTTTGCTCATGAAAGGAGACAAGGGTGTCTCCGGTGTCTCTGCTAAATTCAGACTTGGGTCATTACATTTTGCCTACTGACCATTTCCCCAGAAATATTTCAGATAAACATATTTTCCTTGTTCATTTTCTTCTCTAACCTAATATGTACTATTGCTGCAAACTGTTAACTGGCTCCTGTGATCTGACTCAGAAGAGAGTGAAGTGATTCCTGAGTATTGTTTAGACTAGTATCTGGGGAGGAAAATGCAGTATTAGTTATAAGGTATTATTATCACATGCTCTACTAATGGTTATTACATACCTAAATCCTCTTGTTCCTATTATCAAAACCATGTTTCTGAGCTTTTCTCATTACCTAGGGACAGTGATCAACACTCAGTCTTTCTTTCCTTCTGTCTCCTTAAATTACCCTCCTCCCTGAGATTGCCTTTCCTAGCTCTTCAGTGGTTCAGAAAACTGCCCTGTAGTGACTGATGCCATACAAAATCTCCTCATCAGTGATGAGAACTCCCAGATTCAGATTAGTAACACAGTGACTGGATAGCAGCACTGGAAAGAAGTATTTGGAATATGAATGTAAACAGACATGTACTGCATCCGAAAAGCAGCTACACTATGTTGTGTTACAAATAAATTCTTCACCAGGGAACTCCAGAGAGTGCAGCTTTGCTGCTGTGGTTGGTTTATTTAGTTTGTTTGAGCTAATCTGATGGTCTAGGCCAGATGATTCAGGCAGAACATAGCAAATGTTTCAGTCAAATATAAGATACATCCAAACCATTTTAAAAAGAGACTCTCTCAAAAGCCACCCTGACTATTGCCATCAACTCCCCCACGATCTTCATCAAATTCACCCCCTTCATGGTAGGGGAGAGCAAGTGAATCTTGCAGCATAGCTTTGGCAAACCAAGGTGGAAAGTGAATCTGAGAGCCAAGGTCTCCTCATTGAGAAGTCCCTGCCACCAGAGCTCTATTCTTTCTATCTAACAGGCTCTTATCTTGAACACTTTCTATTCTATTCTATTCTTTCTAACAGGCTCTTATCTTGAACACTTTCAATGATCTTAACTGCTGTGGTAGTCAAACATAAAGAGGTGGCCTCTTGAATAAAAGGGACCCAAACTGTGTAGGGCTTTATAGGTCAAGGCCAACACCTTTCACCTGCAAATGAACTACTAGACACTGCAGACCATGAAGCATGGGTGCAATATGTTCACTGCATGAACCACCACGTCATAACTGAGTTCAGTTGCTGGGGGATTACAAGCTGTGACCCTGTGAAGAGTGCTCTGCATCCATTCAGCCGCAAGGGAACAAGAGCATGAACATCAGGAGTGAGGTTGAAATGCAAAGGGTACAGCCCTCTTGTTAACTGCTGCCACCAACCAGGGGTAATCAGAAGCAATTAGCCAACCAATGTGATCCTCACGTGGCAAGCCTTAAAATACATGGCATACATTCCCCATTGGTTGGGATGCTGATATGATTTTGGCTACTTCTTTCATTTGTTTTTCCTGATGTGCGATTATTATTTGAGTCTTATTTGGTTCACCAGCATTCTGTTACCCAAACCCATTCAGTGGAATTATAGGCATGTGTTAAATGGCTACTTTTCTGTTATATGCATCTGACAAAGTGGTTTTTGCCCATGAAAGCTTATGCTCCAATAAATCTGTTAGTCTATAAGGTGCCACAGGACTTCTCATTGTTTATGCAGATTCAGACTAACACAGCTACCCCTCTGCTACTTATCTATTGTTTTCAAGGTGACTTTACTTATAGGTGAAGCAGGTGTTCACCATCAGTGTAAATCTGGAATAACTCCACAGAAGTTAACGTGAATCTGAACTGTCTCAATTATGGTCTGGAAGGCAATGCACATGCATCTGGGCTAGGGAGGGATGAGATAGCATCTTCTCTCTGTCAGACCCTGGGAACAGAGTAGACAAATTCTAGAGAGAAGTGCACACACAGTCTTCATTCAGGAGGAAGTGGGCTTTTGCGTTTTTGCTTGCATATGAGACAGTATGAAAATACTGGGATTGACTCCATCACACTCAGCCCAAGAGAGTCCTCTCGCTGGCTACGTCTATACTATGATCCTCTTCCGCAAGAGGAAATGCAAATGGAGAGCTCTTATTTGCATTTCCTCCTCGGATCCCTTTTGTGCAAGAGGTTTTTGCGCAAAAACGCACTGTGTAGACGGCTCCTTTTTGCGCAAAAACCCCCTTTTGCACAAGAGCCGTTCTTCCTCAGAAAATGACTTAAAGGCCAACATGTTCCAGTGATTCTGAGTGCCCAATTTGAAATGCTTTCAAGGGCCTGATTGTCAGTGGCTGGATACCCTCACCATTATCATATGACATACAATGGACTTGTTTATCCCATAGGAAAAAGTATTTTCTGTCTAGCGCTGGGATAATCTCCATTACCAGATACCTTTCATAGGGAATAATGAGTAAAAGAGACTGGCTGCACAGATATCCTAAACTTGTTTCCAGGAATGGCTGGGTGAATAAGACAAAAGACCTTTTGTAGCAAATGATTTATTCAGTTAATTTGCCCTTTTCCTCTCTTTATGAGCAGGCTTTGATTTTCAGATTCCTTCCCTGTTTGTAACCATTTCACAAACTTTTCATGGGAAACAATTTTATTCATCAAACAATTGCTTGCAAATTTGCTCCTGCATCAGATGGGCTATTAGTGTGACTGCTCACCTCTGTCACATGGTATTGTTTCTGCTCCTTGATTAGCTAAGGTAGGTAGGGAATTTTAAAGGACATTTTAAACCTTTTTTCTGAATCATTTGAGTCAGGCTTTTCCTGAGACATCCCTACTAGAAAAATTAGATGATTGTAATATTATAGACTAAGTCAGATTTAAAACTAATTTTCTCTCATTGCCTCCCCACAAAGTAATTGTGTGTCCCATGAAGTCCTAGTCACAAAGAGTGTGGACAGAACACTCTCTGATATATTTAATTATCTCTATGCTGGGATACCGGCCAGGGATTTTGGGTAGTTCTAATTGCCAATAAGCAGGCACATACATTTGTCTGTTTCATGTAACTGTCTCAGAGAGGTAGCTGTTTCAGTCTGTAACTAAATTTTTTTTAAAAAACAACATATTTGGCATCGAGGGAGCATCTCTCGGACACCACGAATCACTTCTGCTCTTCCCGGCAATGCAGGAGAAGGTAGCAGGGACTCCAGAGTCAGTGGGAGTCTGTAACTTTAATAAAAATATATATTAATTATTCTCTAAGGTGCTACAGGATCATTGCTGTTTTATAAACTTTTTCATGTAGCTGTGTTAGCACCAGGGCTCTGACCTGGGGTTTTGATAACAGAGATCCTTCAATGACAATAATGCTGGTGCTAACTAGTGCATGACAATGTTTTGACTATCTGCATCTACTTCTCTAGAATACTGCAGCTTCATACGGGCTGGTATTTCTGGATTTTCCAGATTGTTTGCCTTTTTTTAGTCAGTTTTTTTGGTGTGAGGAGAAATTAACTGATTTATTTATACAACTTCATTTTTAATTGATGTCAAAACACTACTAGAGTTTGGGATGGGTGCTTTTTAATTTCTGCCAAGAGCATGTAGTAAATTCACTAGTTTCCACTTTTCTGACCCTTTTACTATTCCTACAGTTATCATGACAGACAAAGTTAGCCATTCTAAGACACATACATGGTCTTAGTTGGGAAGGGGTCCAAAAGTGGCATGGAACTTGAGGGTGCTTTTCTTCATTCTGGAGTTGCCACTAAGGAGATTACACTCCCAGCATGCAATGCTCTGTGTCCATCCTAGGAGCTCTTGCAGTCCTCACCTACCCTTTTGTGCTTTGTGCCCATATTAATCCCTCTAACTCAAGATGTCAGCTCCTATCTCTGTTTGATCCATGATTCCAGATTTTTTTGCCCCAGTTAATTGTTCAAGCAAGCACCTCTTTGTGCCGGGGATTGGATTCGATGATCTTTCAAGGTCCCTTCCAGTTCTATGATTCTATGGTTCTACCCATGCTGTCCCCAACACATGGGAGAAATTCCCCGTAATCACCTGCAAAACTAATACAGTATTCACTTTCACATTTCTTCTTCAAACTCTCCTTTGCCAGGATGACTACAAAAAATTTGACCAGGGTTAAGCAGCTGGTGCACTGAGATCACTGCATGTCATGCTGACCAGTATTACTCATTGCTTCCTTGTTCTCCTCCTTCAGTCTGTCTGTACCTACTTTAGACTGCAAATTGTCAGGGGCAAAGACTGCCTTTTTGTTCTGTGTTTATACAACGGGATTGTGATCCATGACTAGGGCTTCTAGGCATTACCCCAACACAAACGATAAGAATTAAAAACAAATGATAAAATAATAATAATCTAGCACCACCCCATTTCAGTGGCAGGTTCTTACTGTGGCTGTATTATCTCATTGCAGTGTAATGAGTAATTTCCTCAATGTGGGAAGGGGGGTAAAGGAGAAGGTAGGTGCAGATCAGTAACCTAGGAAAATGCCATGGGTTGTCTCTGGCATGTACCAAAGTGGCACATGTGAAGTGGCAATATAGGCTGCCCCAACCACCTAGTTTTTAATATTTCACTTGAAACTGAAATATTGTTTTTACTGTTCCCACTAGAGGGGGCTGAGAGATGGAGGATTTGACTAAATGGCTAGGAGAGATGGGGGAAAGCAAGTTACTGCAATGATAGGGGAGTAAATCTTATCTCCTGGTACCTGTCCAAGGCTGGTGAAAACAGGTAAAGATAGATTTACAGCCTGGGAACAAGGCACTGAGTTATGGAGGGGCTATCTGTGGCCAGAGGGATCAGCATAGGGGAGAGGTGAAAACACACCAGGGTTATTCTTCAAGGAACTTAAATCAGCCACCTATTCCAGAACAAAGCAGACACTAAATCACATTCATAAAAATATCTCTGTCCACTTATTGTCCCCCACAGCCCATTCCCAGCCCAGCCATGAGACCACACACTCACATGTAAGCTTTGTAATTGTTGCCGATTTTCTGGATTCGGATATCGTACTTGGAGTCGATGAACGTCTCAGTGGTGGCATAGGTTTTTGCCATGGCTACTATGCTGGCCATGTCCTGGAAGTCATACTGGTTCTCAACTTTTACCTTCCATTGTAGAAATCCAGCCAACGAGTGCCGAGCACAAAAGGAACAGGAATATCTGTGAGGAGGGGTCATCTCAGTGGATGAACAGCAGAGTACAGTGGTAATTAAACAATAAGGAGAGTGAAATTGAAGAATAGACGGAAGTAGGTAGAAGGATGCTTCACCAAGGCAAACCTTAGACATATCTAGGTAACTGGCATGTCTCTTTCCTGGATGTACAAGCCCTTGGGGATCAGTAATGAGAACATATACATATGATTAAAGGGTCCCATGGGGCTTTCCTCAGAAGGCTTCATCATGTTACACAGCTGGAATGCTCCAAAAAGGCACTGGTTATATATTTGTAGCATAACTTAATTCCAACTCTAAATTACCCTTGCTCTATTATTTACCACTAACGGTCAGATGAGAAAAGAAAACCAGGAATGACCATGAAATAGTCATTTACACCAGAAAAAAAAGCAGAGAGATGAATTTTATTTTATTTTTTGCCACTTTTTTATTTTATTTTATTTTATTTTTTGCCACTCCTGCTCTCTAGATTGCTAGCAGCTCACATTGCCCTTATCTAGTTTCCCGCTAACACCTGGCACAGGACTCCAGGCTAGACGCATATAGAACAAAAGCCCTATGAGGATGATGTTCCTAGGGGAGACCACATACTGCAGGCAGGGCAAGCCAGAGGTCATGGGAGTGTATGCGGGGGAAGGTGTAGAGGGAAGGAGTTAGTGTGATGTTCAGGGGCTTGAGGGCTATACCCAAAGGGCCGCAAATTTCCTGGGAAATTAGCTTTTCAGAGTGTTATTACTTTTCAGAGTGTTATTTATTTACTGGAAATATGCTGAAACTTTCAAAAAAGAAATTCTGGAAAAAAGGAATCACTAAGTATAGAGGATGAGCAGCTGTCTACCAAGAGCCACTAAGAAGGGTAGAGAAAAAAATCCTGAAGTCTCCGAATACTGAAAGAAAGAAAAAAACAACCAACCAACTCATCCCAGACAATGTCACTACCTTCATGTCACCAAACTCAGCCGTTAGTAACATACATTGTAAAAAATCTATTCTGGGTCATCAGCACAACCTAGCCAATTGAAACCCCCCCAGATGATAGTGTGTGGAGATGGATGTGTTAATTTAAGCAGGTCTACAGGATCAGAGCAAAATGTGATTTTCATTGTGTTTTATTATTTATATTGTGGCATCATCCAGAGGTTTTAATCAAGGATCAGGACTCCATTGTGCAAAGCACTGTACAAACATTGAACAAAAAAATGGTCCCTGCCTTCAAGAGTTTACAAACTAAATCCGTAGATGTGTGAAAAGGCCACAGTCTATGTAAACCAGTCTGAAGGAAACATGCATTGATGGTTGGAGTCTCTTTATTAAGACTGAATGAGCTATTCTAAATGTCTACCTAAAACCATGGGAAAGCAGCAACCATCCTGAGTATGAACGTATCATAGAAACATAGAATACTTGGACGGGAAGGGACCTAGAGATGTCATCGACTAAAGTCCCCTGCTCTCATGGCAGGACCCAGTACTGTCTAGACCATGGGTTCCCATACTGGGGGGCATGAAGAAATTCCAGAGGGCGCAAGGCGACCCAGCCTACCCCCATCAAGTTTTGCTGCCCTGTTCAGTTCCTTTTTTCCTTTTTTTTTGCTCAACAAGTTTTGCTGCTATTTGGGGGCGTGGGGCATGTGGGTTTTTCAAAAATCAAAAAGGGGGGTGTGATGCCAAAAAGTTTGGGAACCACTGGTCTAGACAATCCCTGATAGACATTTATCTAACCTACTCTTAAATATCTCCACAGATGGAGATTCCACAACCTCTCTGGGCAATTTATTCTAGTGTTTAACCACCCTGACAGATAGGAAGTTTTTCCTAACATCCAACCTAAACCTCCCTTGCTGCAGTTTGAGCCCATTGCTTCTTGTTCTATCCTCAGAGGCCAAGATGAACAAGTTTTCTCCCTCCTCCTTATGACACCCTTTTAGATATCTGAAAACTGCTATCATGTCCCCCCTCAATCTCCTCTTTTCCAAACTAAACAAACTCAGTTCTTTCAGCCTTCCTTCATAGGTCATGTTCTCTAGACCTTTAATCATTCT